CATTGAGCCACTTGGGTTTTTGGAAAACAGCACTCATATCTCCCTTTGCCCATTGTAAGAGTTCTTACACAGCCCTTCTTCCCCATGACTCAAGGTTCTGCATCAGAAAGCAGCAACCCAGAGGGTGGGCCTTAGTATCAGCAATTACCCTGGCCTTGCTCTTTAGCTCTGACTGATGGATTGTGGTGGGCGTCATAAGAGAGAGCTGCTTCTCTGGCCTCCACCACTCAACTCTAGTCTTCCTACTTATTTCCCCTTAGAGTAGTTTGGAGAAGAAGGACTCAGGATCCCTGGTCTCAAGTGCTCTCCATCCTGAATCACCACCACACTCACTTCTTTAAGCAAAAGTGCCCCCACCCCGAAGTCTTCTGCCTCCTCCTGAGAGATGGAAGCTGGCTCTAGGAGGAGAGCAGGGGAGGGGAGAAGCTGGAGGCCCTAGGGACCTGCTATGACCCATGCTAGTGTGTGCTTTGTGCTATAGTCCTTGCCAGCCTTTTCTCCTTGTGTGTGATGGACCCGGAGAGTACGGACAGGCCGGTGCTCAGCCTCCCCTCCCCACCCGATGCTTCTCACAGTAGACCTTCTTCACCTGCTTTCCATCCAGGCTGCAGTGGCTTCAGGGTGACTGAGAACAATCCATGCACATTTTTGTTCATAGCTCACACCAGGCATTCGCAGAGGGGTCTGTGACTCAAAAATGCTCGCAAGGCTTTCATCCTTGAATCAGGGATCCAGCACAGCAAAGGAAATAGAGAAATTAGAATATATCAGGGACCGGGGCTCCTGGGTGGCTCGGTCAGTTAAGTGTCCGACTTCGGCTCAGGTCATGATCTCACGGTTCGTGGGTTCAAGCCCCGTGTCAGGCTCTGTGCTGACAGCTCAGAGCCTGGAGCCCGCTTCAGATCCTGTGTCTCCCTCTCTCTCTGCCCCTCCCCTGCTCACACTCTCCCTCTCAAGAAAACAAACAAACAAAAAAAGGAATATATTAGGGACCAAAATGGTGGGGAGTGCCCAAATGCTGCCAGAGTATCTTGGGGTCCAAGCTTCTCTTAGCTGAGGTGAGACTGTCTCTGAAATGGAAGAGAGGGGGTGGAGAGGGCAGGGTGGGGTGACCTCAGGAAGTTTCTGTCAGGGAGGGGTGGGCACACTCTTCCGGAGCAGACAAAGCCTGTAGACTGTCCTGCTGTACTAGATTCCTGATCAGCTTCCTGTACCCTAAGAGCTTGCTGAGATTAGAACCCAGAAAAGGACCTAGAAATGTGAAGCCCCCAAATCGTGAGAGGCTCTGTTTCTGGCAGCCAGGATTTCAATTCGGCCCATCCGATCCCGGGAATTGCTGCCCCTTTCTGGCCAGTCCCTGGGGCAGAGGCAGCAGAGGGCACTGAGAAGAAAGGGTAGCCACCAGCCAAACAACCCTCAGCTTCCTGAGTCAGGTGCCTCAGGGGTCCTGAAGGTGGGGCACCACCAGCAACTGGCTTTGTCCCCCTAAGGGGCTGGCTCAGAGTGGCAAGTGGAAGAGCACCTACCTGGGTCAGGGCCCCATGGCTGAGAGGCCCTGCAGACGGGCTGAAAGAGCAGGCAGTGACTAGGACAGCACAGGTGGTGGAAGGCATTTGGGCTTTTAATTTAATTTGATTTTTTAATGTTTTATTTTATATTTGAGAGACAGAATGTGAGCAGGGGAAGGGCAGAGACATGGAGACAGAATATGAAACACAGAGCCCGACGCGAGCTCGAACGCATGAGCAGCAAGATCATGACCTGAGCCACAGTTGGTCGGATGCTTAACCCACTGAGCCACCCAGGTGCCCCAGGCATTTGGATTTTGAGTCTGACAACCCCGAGTTCAAAAGCAGCTCCCTCACTAACTAGCTGTGTGTCCTCAAGCAAGTGAATCTATTTGACCTTCAGTGGCATCAGTTAAAGTGTCCTGTGTTACAGAGTTCGTGGAAGGATTAAATAAGAAAACAAATACAAAGCCACCGACACAGCATAGGCTCTGGATAAGTGTCTTCTCTCTCCACTCCTGCACAGCCCTGGGGATTTCCCCACAATGTGACCTGTAACATCCCTGAACGTGAACACACACCACTAGCACATGTCTCTGGTTGCATTTACATGCTGGTTTACACACACACACACACACAGCCTGTACAGTCACACTTGGCTAAGGGCAGCCTTCCCCAGCAGGTCAGATAGGGACCTGGCTTGCTGATGATTGGACAAGCTGTGGAAGTGCCCATCACAGTGACCTGTCACATCAAAAGGCTTTAGGAAAAACCGTGTTAAGGAAACAAGGGGTGGCAATTGGGGGTAAATCCACTGGCATCCCGCACCCCGCCCTGCCCCAGGAATGTGCCTCTCAAGGGATGCCGCGCCCACCTCTGCTGAGAAGGCCCTGTCGTGCCCAGAGGTGGTGTGTCTGCAGCTGTGCTGTCCAGGAGATTGGCACTGGCCACGTGTGGCTTTTGAGCACTTGAAAGATGGCTGGTGTCCCTGAGGAGTGGAATTTTAAGTTTATTTCAGTTAAGTTCATTGAAATGTTAAAACTGATACTTGATTTGGTGGAAAACTTTTTAACATGTTTGGAACAACTTGTGTGAACCTACTTTTTCAACAATGAATTTTATGAAATCTAAGAACAGATCAGATCTTTCTGGTGAAAATTCAGTGAGATGTGCTATAAATGTAAAATATACACTGGATTTTAGAGACCTAATATGAAAAAATAATGTAAAATATTTCAATAGTAATTTTAATATTGATAACATGCTGAAATGATAATAGTTTGGGTACTTTGGGTTAAATAAAATATAGTATCAAAGTTCATTGTATCTGGGTTTTTTTGCTTTTTAAACGTGATACTAGAAAATTTGAGATGACATGGGTGCCTCACGTTCGATTTCTGGGCAGAGCTGCTCGGGAGACTGGGACTCGGCAGCTGTGGCCCCTGCTCCCTGCGTCACCTGTGCCCCACTGTCTCTGGGGGCTTCCCTGAGATTTCTCTGCACAATATTGCTGTTTTTGCTGTCTTCTGCATTGCAGGGTGGGCAATGAGAGTGAGAACCTCTAGTACTTGACCCCCAAGTCCCAACCTAGTAAGCCGTGGATGGAGGATTTTGGAGAGGAGAGAAAGGGCTGTGTGGGGGCTGGGGGGAAGCGTGGTGGAATCTTTCTGGTGCCTTATAAACTGGAGAGGGGAGGTTGTCAGGATGCTAAGAGAATTGTGAGTGTGTGGCCGGGGGGCAGGGTTGGAGGCTCAGGGGTACGCTTTTCTCTAGATTGTTGGATTCTCCAGCCTCCCTCTCCCAACCTCCTGTTCTCATCTCTGACCCACCCCCAGAAGCCCACCAGGGCCCCACTGAAGAGCTTGCCTGCTGGTCAAGTCTGGCTGCCTCCTGGATGGCGTCTGCTTCTCTCCCCTGTGGGGATAGTTTGAGCTGGGAATCTTCTAATGAGTAGAGTCTCCTCGGAGCAAGGAGCCAGGAGCAAGGACGAGAGCAGCAGGAATCAGCAGGAGGCTGATGATGCTTGCATACTGAGGGGTGGGTGGGGGCCCTTGAGGGTGGAGGGGAGCTAAGGACACTGAGCAGATGCTGCTGCAGAGAGACCCAGGGCCTCGTGACTCCCCACTTCTCAGTCCTTCCTCCCTGCCCCTCCTGTCCCTTCACTCCTCCCCTTCTGAGATGCTGAAGCTGCTGCCTCTTGAATCTCTCCTTTTCCCTGGCTTGGCTTTGCCACCTATTTGAAGCACGCTCAGAGCAGTCAGCGTCTCCTCTCAGCCTGCCTCTGCGTCTGGGGTCTCCGTTAGACAGTAGCCTCTATCCAGAGACAGCTTCCCACCTGGGCTTCGCTGAACAGGGAACAAGAGGCCCCTGCAGAAGGGCAGTGGAAATTAACTAGGCAGCCAGATCCTGCTGCGGCCCCTTCCCTCTGCTCTCCCTACAGTGTGCAGTGCCCTTCCTGCCTGGTTCCTCCAAGCCTGGTCCTGCCGGGTTCTCGGTCTGCCTGCTGGGACAACTGCAGATCTGTGCTTTTGTTAGGCATTTTCTAGGAGTTCCCTTTGTACTTTCCCCCTAGGGTACTAGGGATCTGTGATTGGGGGATCCCAACAAGAACTGGAAAGTAGGGAAGGAGCCAGGTACCCCAGGCTGGAATTTCTTCAGAGGGATCCCTTGGAAGGTGGAGGATCCCTCCTTCTCTAACTCCAGAGTACAGGGAAAGGGCCGAAATGGAAACAGACTGAGAGTTTCTCCAGAACATCTCTGGGCCTCCTTTGGTGTTAAGCTTATATGTCGGGGAGGCTGCTGGGGTACATGCTCAGTGGGCAGGCAGAAAGGGTAGGAAGGGAGAGATTTGATAAAAATGAGGGGGGAGAAAGAGTGAAGTAAAGAAAACTCCGGATATCACATTAATTTAGACTGCTGCTGTCATGGCCTTTTGGCAGCAAGTTTAATGATGTGACAGATGGGGCAGGTGCTGGAGGCCTCATGCAGACACAGCCAGTGTGCAGTCTCCCCGCCCCCCGCCCCCCTGCATTGTACACTCACATCTTCTGAGCCTGAGATCCTTGGCCCTAGTTCCTTGCTCCTGGGGAGGAGCAGAAAAGAGACCAGAAAAGAGAGGTAGACTGCATGATTGAGAAGCAAGCGGCGCTTCTCAGCCTCACCTCTGCAATAATCTCGTAGCTGTGGTTAGCAATTGGTACTGGTTGTTAAAGGGTGTCAGTGTGTGTGAACGAGTAGACTGGAGCCTTGGGGATGTTTCCTGCTTGGTGGAGGGGGGTGCGGGGAGGGCTAGACTGACTACAGGTCTACAGCTTCTGCTCCCATCCTCAAACTGCAAAAGCAGGGGGGAGGCAGACCTTCTTGAGAGGCATCATTAGCTGTTGGCACGATGCAGGCGGGGGTGGGCCTAGATTCTGGTTCAAGCAACCTTGGTTTTCTTCCCTTTTGGTATCCGAAGCTGTCTTGGCTGGAGCTCCGATGTGGAAGTAAAGGTCAGAAGAGCTTGGCGGTGACCCGGTTACCCCCCGAGTTCTTATCCCCTGAGGGCCGAGGTGCCACAAAGTCAAAGGTCATGTGATGTTTGACCCGGCCTTTGCCCTTGCTCCAGAGGGCAATGAGGCCAAAGCAGAGGGTCACCGAGGTGAGGAAGGGGAGGAAGCCAACTGCTAGCACCATAGCTACACCTCTGCTATCCAGGAAGAAGGGCCCTGGGATCCCTGGCGTGGTGATGTTAGGGTCAGAGAGAGTGCCATTTGGTGGTTCAACTTGGAGTACTTCGAGCCAGGTCCTCAGGGAGTCATTCCCAGCAACATTGCTGACCACGCAGACATAGGCCCCTCTGTCCTGCAGCTGCACCGAGCGGATCTCCAGCGTCCCATCCTCCAGGACCCTCACTCGCCCAGCCCTTCCCAGCCAAGGGCCCTGAGGCCTCCTCCAAGAGACCGTGGGCGCTGGGTCTCCGTCTCCGGAGCAGGAGAAAACGGCCTGCCCCCCCTCCTCTGCGATGACCCATCGCGGCCCAGACTTTCGGATCAGGGCCGGTTGGCAAGTGAAGTGCCCTGGAGGCAGGATGTCTGAGAACTCCCTCAGGCTCTTGCCCTGCATGTGCCGGGGGCTGGCACAGGCAGGGGGTGCCGCACCGAAGTCCAGGTGCCTGCGCAGCCGGAGCAGCCAGAGGAGGCGGCAGTCACATGTCAGGGGGTTACCCGACAGCCGCAGGGTGACTAGTTGGTCTGGGGAAGGGAAGGCCATTTCCTCCAGCGTCTGAAGGGCATTATCTGCCACGTCCAGGAGGTGGAAAGCGGTCAGGCCGTGGAAGGCGTGGGCGGCAATGGAGGTGAGGCACGCTCCCGCCAGCCGGAGCTCCTGCAGCCGCACCAGGGGACTGAGGCTTCGGGCGGGGATGGCTGAGATGGGGTTCTGAGACAGATCCAGGACCCTGAGGAAGCTCAGGTGGCGGAGCGCTTGGCAGGGTACTGCGCTCAGATTGCAGCGGGTGATGGCCAGGTTGCTGAGATTGAGCCCAGCCAGGCTCCCAGGCTCCAGAGCCCCCAGAGATGGCCAGGAGTGGATCTCCAGCTCCTTTAGCTGCCCCAGCCCCCGTAGTGCCCCAGCTGGCAGCCTCCCAATATCCAGTTCTCGAAGCCTCAGGGCCACTAGTGCCGGGAGGCGGGCCAGGGCCAGGCCGGGCACTGTGCTGAGGTTGCAGCGTTCCAGGGTGAGGGTGCTCAGCTGGGCCAGCCCTGCCAACGCCCCTGGAGCCACGAACACCAGGTGGTTGTCCCCCACCTCCAGCTGCCGGAGGCTGCCCAGCTCCCCAAAGGCTCCGTCAAGGAAGAGGACAATGTGGTTGAGGCGGAGGTCGAGCAGCGTGAGGGCAGACAGGCCTGAAAAGACCCCGGGCCCCATGATTCGCAGCCGGTTGCCCTGCAGCCTCAGGGTCAGGAGGCTTTGGAGGCCATAGAAGGCCCCAGGCTCAAGGGTGGACAGCTGGTTGTAGCTGAGGTCCAGTTCCTGGAGCAGGCCCAGGCGGGAGAGCATTCCGCGCTGAAGCCCCCACAGGCGATTTCCACTCAGGTCCAGGAGCTCAGTGTCCGCCGGGAGTCCCCCAGGCACAGCCTCCAGTCGCCGAAGGGGGCAGAGCACTGCCCGGGGCTGGGAGGCACAGTCACACACGGCAGGGCACCCACCACAACTGCCTCCAGACAGGAGGAGCAGGAACAGGAGAGGGGGCCATGGGGGCCAGGCTTGCTTTGGAGCTGGACCCATAGCCTTCCCCTCTTCAGTCCTGGAATAGATGATGACATGGTCCTGTTTGGAAAGTGACTTCAGACGATGGTGACCCTGGACCTCCTGGGCCTCCGTAGAGGAGAGGGAGATTGAGCTACCTGTGTCAGCATCACCAGCAAGTAGGGCAGACCCAGGAACAGTTCTGGGGGACTGCCTCCTTGGGGGGCTCCTGGGCCTCCTCTCTGGGGAATCTCTGCTTTGCTCTCCCTCCCAGCCCTGGGTAACAGGCCGAGTGCCTCCTGGCTCATGGAACGTGAGTGAAGCCTAACTTCAGCCGGGAAAGTTGTACGTGAATGGACAGGAAGCGGGGAAGTAATGTTGAGTCTCCCCATTTTCCTATGTCTTTGAGATCCAGGAATACCACAGGTCCCTTCTCCCTGACACTTGTCTTCCCCAAGCTCTGCCCTCCGCTCTCTGCCCACCCTGTTCTCCCATGTTATCTATCCATAGCTTTGTCTATCTGTCCATAGCTCAGGAGGAATCACATGCTTGGATTCTGATGGGAGTGTGGTCCTCACCTTGACGAAGTCCTCCAGGGCTGGGAAGTATGCTCAGCTCTGTGCCCCTGGACTCCACCTACTGCCCCTCTGCCCTTCTGGAGCCTGGCCCAGGGCCTGGGGCCCTGAATTAGCAAGACCCAATCTCCCTGAATGTCTGTGTGGATGACAGCCAAGCAACACGTTAGTCATGGCACAGGCTACCGGGGGGCACCCAAGTCCCTCATGAGAACCCTACGCGCAGCCCCTATAGATGACAGTGGTGTGTGAGGGACCCAAGGGATGCCTGGGTTTTGAGTGTTGTTGCTTGGTCCTCAGGCTCAGGCTCCTGTTATATCCCTCCTCGATAGTGTTTTGATTTAGTCCAATGTGGGAATCTGAGGGAGATCTCTTGTCCCCAAACAATACACAAGAGACAGACTGTGAGCCAGGGAGGCATAGACAAGGAGAGACAGCACCTGGCCAGATGGTGTGGGTGGGGAGCAAGGGAGCCCTTGGCTGGCACAGCTGATCTCTGGGTACAGGCCGTGTGCAAAGCATGTAGACTGCAAGTGGGTTTCTGGGAACCAAGGGCCTGGGCAGAATCAGGATAATGGCAGGTATCATGGCCACTGGGGACTGGTCGAGGTGACAGAGGAGAAGGGGCCCCATAGGTGGTGAACTCACTCTCACCTCACCGTGTTAAATGTCAACAGGGCATTGAACCATGGAGGGGAGGTGTTGGGACCAAGAGGTAAGTGATGCTCCCTAGGAGGCAGGATGCCTGGGTTTCTTTCTAGCTGCAGATCCAGATGGCCTTTGGGGCTTCAGGCTGTCTGTGCCCTGAAGGGTCAGCTTTCTGTCACACGCCCCATTTTCTCCCACGTGGAACTTTACGAGGTGGTGTGACTTCTTCCCATTGCAGGGTCAGGGGAGGGGGATCACATCCCTGGATCCTGACTGGAGTGAGGATCTGCACCCCTCCTCTAGAAGAGTTGTTCTGGCGCCTCTCCCGCTGTAGTAGCGGGAAACCAGAGAGCAAAGAGGCCCGGAGAGCAGAGGGATGTAGGACACCATCCTGAGGCTTGGGAGGAGAGAGAATGGTGTGGGGCGGGCAAAGGCAGCTGACCAGGCTCTTGTCCCTAGACCGACCTGGCAGGTATCTCTGGCATGCTGAGAGTTCTCCAGGGACAGACGTGTCCCAGTCTCCCTCATTGTCCCTACTCCTGTTCTGGGAAGTCCACTCGACAGCTAGCTCTTTATCACTACCACTGCAGCTACTGCTCCTCCTTTGTGCTCTGCACTCAGCAAAAGTGCACTGAAGCATGTAACCCAGCTTCCCTCCCTCCCCCTTCTGTCAGTTTCCTCTTAGTCCCCAAAGCCTGCTGGCCCAGGGGCTGGGGGATCTAGGGACAACCCCTTTTCTTTATTTATAACATGGCTAATTTAATCCCAAACTTCCCTCGCCAGTCTCCATGGCTACAAGACTGGCTTCCAGCCACTTTGCCGGAAGAAATGGGTGTCAGAACCACTTCTTTCTTTAGATGGGGTGGGGTCTTGGGCATCAACCCTTCAAGGAGTAGGAAGCTTTCTTCTTCTTGTCTCTATGTGGCAATCCAGAGACACATATGAACCTTTAAAGCAGACCTGACTGGAGACATGGGGACTTGCGTGGGGAGGGGGCTTTTAGGGGAAAGATTTCTGGAATTTCCATACTGATAGTGGAGAAACCCTTCCCAGAGGTAGAGGAAGCCCTGGGGAGACGGAGGGAGGTCTCTTTAGAGTCCTTCCCCATAGAGGTGTCTGGGACATTTTAGTTTTCCCATCAAAGTCCGGTGGGGCCAGGATCAATGGCTGGTTGGGGTGGGGTGGGGTGGGGCAGGGGGGAGGGGCAGGAGGAGCGCAAACCCTCTAGCCTGAAAGGGACGCTGGTCTGGCCTTGTCTCTGAGAATATTGTAGAGAAGGACAGCTGCAGCTTTGGGACAGGAGGTGGGGGCACTTACCGGAGAAGCTGGAGGGCGGCATCAAGTTGGACACTGCCTCTGTCCAGGGCTGGGGGACGTCCCATTCAAGCTGCACCCCGGGCCGCCGGGCCTCACTCCCCTCACTGCCCGCTGCCCCGCCGCCCTCCCGCCCGCCTGCCCGCTGGGGCTGCTGTTGCTGCTGTGGCCGCTGCTGCCAAGACCGAGGTAGAGAAAAGAGCCAGAAAGCATTTCCTTTTTTTTTTTTCCTCTCTCTCTTTTTAAACCAGGCAAGAATGAGTCTGCAGCAACCCTGTTGGTGCAAAATAAATAAATAAAGCAACCAGGGAGGGCTGCAGCAAGCGCCACTACAGGATGGAGAAGGGGAGGGAGCTCAGACGGAGACTTTGGGGTCTAGGAGGGGTCAGGAAATGGAGGCAGCCAGCAGCTCTGAAAGGGTCTCTGGTGGACATGCTGACTCCCCTCTGGGGAGCTCAGGGACAAGCACCTTCCTCTCCCAGATGCGGCCTTTAAATCTAAATGCCCCCCATGGGTATCATTTTGTGGGGAAAGTTCTCCATCCAGAACATCTGCTGTGGAGCTTAGTTTGAGACTCCTGTGGGGGTTTCTGAGGAGCAACTCCCAAGCCTCCCTGGGGGCTGCTCAGAGTGGGGGCTTTGATCCTTTTGATGCTCATGGGTTGCTGGGCTGAAAACCTGGGTCTCCACACAGGAATGAGACAGGAGAGAGCAGCTGGTCGGTGGTCTGATTTAAGACCCTCCCCCCTCCCGGCCCTGCCACACATGCCCCTGGCCTTTAAAATCATTTTATAAAGAATAGCACAAGTTAGGATTTATGTCTAGCCTATTAAACCCTCCCCTGAGAGCAATACAACCCCCTCCCCCACATCACCTGCTGTTTATCCCTCAGAGGATGGCTCATAGCGATTTGTAAAGCCAAGCAAGAGAAGTTTTGGGGCAGCCTGAGAGGCAGGTGTCTGCCCTGTTCCCTGGTCTCCTCCCTGCTAGAGTCAGTAGTGCCCCATCACAAAGTGATGAAATTGTGTCTGTTTCCTTTCTCCATAATGACAGCAGGACTCCTCCAACGTCTGTCTGGGACCATCTGACTGACCAGTGTCCAGCCATCTCTTCTTCTCCTGGGATTTCTTGTGCTAGAAGACATCTGGGGCTGGGATGGTGTTTGGGCCACCCCAGGTGTAAGGTTGGTGGACTGGAGCACCATGAAAATGTTCTGGGGTCCCTCGGGGTTGGGACTCTTTTCCTGAGGCCACTATGCACCTCTGAGCTGTGACCTCAAGGAAGACAGGGACTGTGTCAGATTAAATGTACTGCAGAGGTGCATAATTGCAGGTTGAGTTTGTGAGTATGTGTTTCACCTGTGCATGGGTGTGTGTCTCTCATCAGGTTTGTGTTGACCCCTAAAGTCTATTTCTAAAGTGCACATAAGAGGTTTGAGTTCTAACTCAATCTATGATGCTCTTGGCCTCCATTGTACCTTATCCCTAAAAATCCCATAAAATCCCGTAAAAGATTATCCCAGCCCCTTACCCCCATCTCATCCTTACCCTTCACATATCCAGTTTTTTTTTAGACCCTGGGTAAAGGGAAGCGTGCCCAACCACTTCCTTGCTGAGCTGAGAGGAAGAGGGAAGGCAGAAAATCTAAAGATCTGTGTTCATGTTATATACAGGTCCTTCTGGGCTCCAGCTGCCAGTCTCTGAGCTTGACATACCTCCCTAGCCAAAGCCCACAGGGAAATGCAATGAGGTATTTTAAAGTCCTGTTCTTAGCTTCTGAGCTCAGAGTTGAGTTCCATTCATCCAGGGTGTCCTGGATCCCCCTGGTGTCCTGAGGACACTGTGGTCCTCCTAGAGGTCCCTATGTGCCACCCTGGGCCTCTCAGAAGCTGGGGGTGAAGAGTCATGGTGAAGGAGACGCGACCAAGCTGAGGCTGGAGATGGTGTTCCTTCATCCCTACCCTCTCTGGCTCTTGGCCCACCGCTGGGCATGCCTGTGGGCAGAAAGCCAGTCTGAGCAACCGCTCACCCCCAAAGAACAGGCAGGGTCCACCCTCTCAGAGCACAGGAAAGAAAAAGGTGAGGGTAGGAGGAGGGCTGGGGCGAGGGCCAGCGGGCTCCAGAGAAGGGAAAAGCAGTCCCTCCTCTGGGTCACTCGGACAGCCCCTCAGGTGACTCAATTTCAGTGCTGAAGAGTTCCTTGTAGAGTGGAGGGAAAGCAGCCTGGACCACGATGGGGTGCAGATGCTGGAAGGTTTGCAGCTTTTCCACGTGCTGGCTACACAGGCTCCGAAGCTTCCCCTTGGGTGGCAGCTGGACATGGGTTAACAGGGGGGGAGGGTCAGTACGCCAGCCTCCTCCCCAGAGCCAAGATGTCCTCTCGGCCCTCCCGGGCTAGGGCAACCCTCCTTGCTTTCCCCTCTGCACTTGGCATCGGAGGGGTGGCCGGATTCGATCCCATCACAGGGGAAGTATGTGTTCAGGAAGCCAGAGGCAAGCGAGGGCTGCTGCAGGACAGGTGTGTGTTTTCTGAGTGAACCCCCAATCACATTCCCGCTACTCACCTGGTAAGTGCTCCAACTCCCACTTTCTGCTCTTAAGATGGTTGGATCCTGCGACTCTGTTATGTACTATCACTGGCCTTCATTGATGCTGTTCTCACGTGGAATGCCTTTCTAGTTCTTTGCTTGGCTAATTCTTCCTCACTTTCAAGTGTCACCGCCTCTGGGAATATTTCCCTGATTACCCCTCCCTGGATTAAGGGCATTTCCTTTGGGCTTCTCTCTGTGTAGTAGCACTTAAACCTGATTGTAGGAAAACGGTCTCATTTGTCTGCCTTTCCACCCTGGGTCTAATCTCCTTAGGTAGGTTCTCTCCCTGTCTCCCTCTCTCTCTGTACCTTTTGTTCCTATCATAGTGCTTGGCACATGACAGTTGCTCAGTAACTATTTGAACTAGTTTCGAAGCAGGTACCCAACGCTACCAATACTCAGTTGGAGGGGAATAAAAAAGGCCTAGAGACCCAGGAGGAGACAGAGGTAGGGAGACCTTATTGAAGAAAGGCCAAGAAAACCATTCATCTTCTGCAGCTTCCTGTATAACCAAAGTAGGCTTGAAAAGACCGCTCTCCAGCTACCACCTCCTCTCCCACCACCATCTTAGTTTCCTAGGAAAGGGGCAGTCAGAGAGGACCAGGCAACATGGATCCCTTGATATCTTTTAGATTCATTGTTTTTTCATTTCTACTGCTTTACTTTGAGTTTGCCTGGACTGTCACAGTACCTCCATTCTTCCTTCCTTCCTTCCTTCCTTCCTTCCTTCCTTCCTTCCTTCCTTCCATCCATCCTTCCATCCATCCATCCATCCATCCATCCTTCCATTCAATAAATGTTTGTTGAGAACCTACTCAGCTAGGCACTGTGATGGGGTGTGGGGATAGATCAATGGATAAAATAAGGTAGAATAAAATATCTGGCTTTATTAAATGCATATTCTAGTGAGGGAGCCAGAAAATATAATATGCCTGAAAATTTCTTAAAGAGCAGTAATGCAGGGTGGGGTGGAGGGCTTTTTGCATCAGAAAACCTCTCCAGAATGGAGGGATGGGGCAAGCCATTTGGAAAACTAGGGGAGGAACCTTCTAGACAGCAGGAACAGCAGATACAAAAAGCCTGAGGTGCAACTGTGTGTGATGTGTTGAAGGAATAGCCAGGAGGTGACTGAGAGGGCAGGGAGAGGAGAGGAGGTGAGAAAAATTCAGGGTCATATTGTATGTGAGGCCAGTCAGCCATGACAGACCCTACAGGTGAGTCTCAGCAGGATGGGTGGCTATAGGAGGGCTGAGACTTATGCTGTGTGGCTACTGCAGGGCAGAGGAGGGAGGAGCAGGGGCCACTGTAACAGGCCAAGTGAGAACTGATAGCTGGGGGAGGTGGGGGGTGATGGTGGAGGGGGTGATTCTGAAGGTGGAGTCAGACCTGCTTTCCAGCTGCCCCCCCCCCCCCCCCCCCCCCCCCAGGGTCCAGTGAGTCTCTCCTTCCACCCCGTCCAACTGGACTTGAAGTTCTTTAGGGCCTAGACCGTTGTGTAAGTCATTTCTGTATCCTTGGCACCTAGCACTCACTGTGCCTGGCACATAGCAAGGGTCCATTGCTTGAATGATTACATAAAAGGTTCTTTTACACTGGTTCCAAATTAAATTGCCTAAATAATAGCTCTGATGATATCATTCCTCCAGCCCTCATGGCTCTCCATTGCCTGGAAATAAAGCCTTCACTCCTTAATATGGCACTCAAAGTCCTCTCTGATTTGCTACCTGACCTGATTTCCAGCTTCTTCTTGTCTTCTGCTACTTCCCTGCCCTCATCAGTCAGTGCCAGCTCCCAATCTTATGCTTCAGTCAAAATGTACTATGAGCTATTCCCCATATATGTACTATTTTGCCTCCTTATTTTTGCTGATATTGTTCCCATAGCCTGGCATGCCTGTCCTAGCACCACGAATGTCTGTTAAAATCTGTCATACTTCATGGCCTACCTTAAATGCCACCTTCCCTAGGAAGCATTGATGACCCACTCTTTTTACCCCAGATTATTTTTAATCCCTATTCTATGCTCATAACATTTCCCCAATATCTCTTACCGAAGGAACTCATCAGGGGTGCGGAGACACAGTGGGAGAGCACTGGGATTCAATCTTGTATTTATTACTCGCCAATCATGCAAACGTCGGCAAGTCGCTTAAGTCTCCTCACCGCTAAAGGGATATTTGAATACCTGTCCTATTACTGAGTTGCCCTGAGGATGACAGCATGTCTGTGACAGCACCTTGTTAATTGCACTACTGTCGTTATCACGTACCATATGCTACTCTGTACCAGAGTACCAGTACGAGCCTCTTCCTACCGCACTACGAACCCTCAGTGGGGGCAAGGATCGCTTCTCTGTAGCTTTCCATTCCATGGTGCCTTGCACAAACAGATACTGGGTAAGCGATGGCTATATTAAACTGAACTGATTCCTGGAGGCGCCCCCCCCCCCAATTCCAGGCTCTCTCATGTTCCATCTGTACGCAAACGGCAGCGATTGCTTGTCCCCTTGGTTTCCGTGCTGCTGCTGCAAGCTCTCTAACACCATATGGCACTCTGTCCCCATGGAGCCCCGGGGTCCCAGATCTCATGCCAGGCCTGACCTCCTCCACCTTGGGGACTGCTCCTACCTTGGCCAGGATACCTTGGCGGTGGGTCTTGTAGAGATGGTGATGGAAAGCCAGCTCCAGGTTGTGCTGCAGCTGCTCTACTTTCCTCTTCTCTTGGAGCCCTGGCCGGTCTGAAGGAGGGCGCGGCACCATGGCGAGAAGAAGAAAGAACATGGACGTCAAATTCCCCCAACAGGGTGTGTCGTGTTGGGTATCTGTGCTGGAGCACGGCCTCCAGTGCGCGTGCACATGCGCATGTGTCCTGGCTTGATAATGAAAAGCTCTGGGGGGTGGGGGGTGGCGCCTGGGTGGCTCAGTCAGTTAAGTGTGGGCTTGGCTCAAGTCATGATCTCACAGTTCATGAGTTCAAGCTCCACATCGGGCTGTGTGCTGACAGCTCAGAGCCTGGAGCCTGCTTCACATTCTGTGTCTCCCTCTCTCTCTCTGCCCCTTCCCCGCTCACTTTCTGTCTCTGAAAAATGAATAAATCTTAAAAAAAAAAAAAATTTTTTTTTTTAAAGAAGAGCTCTAGGGCCTGGGGCTGGGCTAGCTGTCTACAAGGCAAACTGGGGAGAGATAAGGCGGATAAGAACACCCAATATCCTGATGCCCAAGCTGCCTTCTCCCTGATACCCTGATATTTCACATGGCCCCTTTGATGCTGGGATTCCACTATGGGGGGATGAAATGGAAGAGAGCCCTGCTCCCTGGCCAAGGCTGAGACCAGATGGGAGATTGCCTTGGTGAAGCCTCCTAGGCCAGCATCAAGGCCTCTGCATCAATTGGTGGCTAACTTCAACAGACAAAGCACCTTTTGCCCTGGCTCCATCAGATAGCCAGAAGTCATCTTTTTTTTTTCTAAATGTTAATTTATTGTTGAGAGAGACAGAGCGTGACTTGGGGAGGGGCAGAGAGAGAGGAAGACACAGAATCGGAAGGAGGCTCTGGGCTGTCAGCACAGAGCCCAACGTGGGGCTCGAACTCACAGACTGCGAGATCATGACCTGAGCCAAAGTCAAACGCTTAACCCACTGAGCCACCCAGGCACCCCACCAGAAGTCATCTTTTAAGTCTTTATTTCTAGTTCAAATGATTAGGTCTCTGCTCATTGGCAGAGCCAGACAACAGATCGTCTTCATCTGCAAACTCAGGTTAGTAGCTCAGCTCATTAGCCCAGGTTCTCCAAATACTTAGCATTCCCTGGCTCAGCCCAGCCCACTCCATTCCAGTGGAGAGGGTGCCCAGAGTTCCATTGTGACGGCACACAGTCTTAAGATTAGCTCATGCATGGGGTGCCTGGGTGGCTCAGTTGGTTGAACATCCGACTTCGGCTCAGGTCATGATCTTCCGGTTCGTGAGTTCAAGCCCCTGCGTCGGGCTCCATGCTGACAGCTCAGAACCCGGAGCCTGCTTCAGATTCTGTGTCCCCCTCTCTCTCCGCCCCACCCCTACTTGTGCTCTGTCTCTGTCTTTTAAAAATGAATAAACATAAAAAAAAGTTTTAAAATTAGCTCACGCAGAGCAGTGATTCTCAGATTTGGTGGCACACGACAATCACCTGTGGGAGGCTGTTAAAAATCCTGGTGCTCCAGGCTGCACCCCAGATCAATGACCTTAGAGTCTCTGGGAGTGGAGCCTGGAGAAGAATCACTTTTAGAGCTTCCGGGTGATCACAGTGTGTGGTCATGGTCACACTGGACACTCTGGCGTGAGCTCACAGGCCAGCTAATTTCTCTCTGGGATGTGGCTCACTTCCTTTCATCCCCACGGCTCCCTGGCCCCCCACTTGTCCCAACTCCACCTTGGGAGCCGTTTCCCCTTCTCAGGCTCCTCTGACCCTTCATTCTGCTCTTTAAAGCAGTTTTCCAGACTTAACCACATTTGAAGGTCCAGACCAGACCCTTCACTATCCCTTGCCCCCCTGCCACCCGAATGTCCCTTAGGCAGGCCCAGCAACACTCACTGGCGTTGATGAGCACGAGGGCTGTGTAGAGAGCAATCTCATCCTCAGAAAAGCGCAATGTGCTCAGGGAGTGGGAGAAGTCAAAGATGGAGCTGATGAGCTCCCCACAGCCTAAGGGACGGAAAACCAAAGGATTTGCCGGGTGAACAAGGCCACGGTGCCCGGGGACACCTACCCTCTTGATGTTTGGAGCAGAGGGGGTGATCTGACCTGAAAAGAGGATACCCTGGTTCTTGAAGCTCTAGGGGGCTTGCCATCCCACCCCTCCCTCTCCATTTCCCCCTGCCGCTCACCCAAGGCTCGGAACAGCTCCGTGCCTCCGTATTTGCCTTCGAAAAAGACTGTGTGGTTGTCAGCATTGTAGGCCCGGCACATCCTGACCAGGACCACTTCCATTGCTCCTGGAGAGGGCAGGGACATGCAGGCAGGAGTCAGGCAAAGCAGGAAGCCAGCTCTGTCCCCCTCCCCCCAGGCCTGCCCACCCTCCCTGGGCACCTGCTTTGAGAAGCACAATCTGGTCATTCTGGCAGAGCTCCATAAAGCCTGAGAGCCTCTTAGCGAACTCCACCACGTACTGAATGGCCTCAGTGAGGCGGTGGGCACAGCGTTCCCACATCTCCCACATTGACTGCAAGGAAGGAGGAGGTCCCACTGTAGCCCGGTTTATGACCCTGTCACCCTCCCAAGCCCCCAGGAGCCCGGACTGATAAATATCAGGAGTGAGGTTCAGAACTTCCACACTGTCTGCTCCGGCATTTTTAGCCTATTCTCAGCCCAGATGCACACTTGGGGTCAATGCCTGTCACGTGGTTGCACTCACTGAGCCCCCACCAGCAGCTGGCACCCGGTTAGCTGTCCATGGGGAAACAAAACCCATCTGAGATGCAGCTTTGCCCTCAAAGAGTTTGCATTTTGTAGGGGTGAGAAGGACACACTGACCCCTCTCCCAAAAAGACACACCCAAAGGTCTTGATAACCTGGAGAAGTGAAGGCTGAATGCCAAACAAGTATTTTTAGAACAGGTTGTATTGTGAGAGTGTGATGCAAAAGAGTGTAAACTTTGGAACCCGGTGGATCCGAACGTGCCTTTGGCTCCACGACTTTGTGGCCCAAGAAAAGTCTGTGAACCTCTCTGAGCCCAGTTTCCTGGTCTGCTAAGAACCGAAATAAATGCCAAGCTCCCAGGTGGCTGTCATAAGAATGGAAGATAATTTATGTGAAGCGTCCAGCACAGCGCCCGGCAGAGAAGGGGTGTGTAACATCAGGGTTCTGACTACTGTTACCATCAGAGGACGAGGAAGGAGAGTATGCCGAGGTCTGTACGCCAAGGTGTGGGTGCTGGAGGCGGTAGGATGAAGGGCAGGCAAAATGTTAACCAGCAGGGGCCAAGGAAGAGCTCTCATCCATTGGCTAGACACATGCACGCACACACACACACACACGCACACACACGCACACCCCATGTTTCAAAGCGGGGACACCCTTGTGCGTTGCTCCAGCCCGCTCGCCTGTGCAGGTGGCCATCTCTGCACTCCCCCAGTGGAGGCGGGATGTCCCCCCTTCCCACGGGCTCTCCTGGCCTCACCTTCCTCTGGTAGCCAGCCACCTCCTCCCGGGAGAAGATGTTAGGGCGCTGTCGTAGCAGGTCCTCCAGTCGCAGCTGACATGTCTCTCGGTAGGACTTACAAACGTTCTGCACCAGGTGCTCTGGGGCCAGAGGAGGAAGGCACAGGCTCCGTGTCAGCCAGCTGCCACCCTACCCACACAAAGGGCACTCCTGGCCTGGCCTACCCCTGCTCTGCCTCCCTCCCCCCTTCGACCCCTCGGCTCCCTTGGGCTCAGGTTCGGTGTACATGGAGTGCTGGCTCGGGCCCCTCTCTTGGAAGCCCCTCCCTCATGGTCCCTGCCCTCTCCACCTCCCAGCTGCTCACCAGTCTCTGTCAGGGAGGCATAGGGCACCTCTGGGGTGCTGTGGAAGCTGGGGCTGCAGTAGCTGTCCGGGCCCTGTCCTGGTTCCTCAAGCCCAGGATGCCTGGGGTCCTTGAAATGAAGCCCACATGTGTCAGGGGGCAGCTGGCTGCCTGTGCCATAGAAGCCGTCTCTGGCCTCGGCCTTGCCCCGCTCGGGGCTGTGTCCCAGGTGGTATGAGGCCCCGTTGGGCCCCGCCTTGGCCAGGCTGCTGGGGCAGGAGGGCCCAGAGCCTGGGGCTCTCAGGAGGCCGGGGGGGCAGGCCGAGGCCTCAGGCAGGTCAGGCGAAGAGCCCAGGGGCAGCTGCCCATCTGGGAGTCCCACAGGGCATGCGAGGGCATCTGCTCCCTGGCCCCCCGCTGGCGGGGTCTTGGCCACTTGTCCCCGCTGCTGCTGTTGCTGCCGCTGTAGTTGTTTCTGCACCTCGGCGTGCAGGCTGTCCCTCTGCTTCTTGGACATGCGGCCAAACTTGACAGCTGAAAGAGGTCGGGGACCAAGAGTGTTCAAGGCAGGAGGACTTGGGTGCTGGGCGGCACCAACATGCATTTTGATCATTACAAATTCACTTGCTGTCCCCTGAATAGCTAGCACCAAGCACAGCTTCCTCGGGGGCCCCCACTGTTGCTTGAGACCTCTGCCACCTCTTAGGTGTTTGCTGCAGGGCCGGTCCAGCCCAGGCGTTTTGGTCTCCCAGGCAAACTCTCCCGGCTGGAAACTGGCTTCTGCTAATGGCATGAATCTGGACTGAGGACTCTGGCCTCCTGATGCTGGGGCTGGGGGTGGTCACGTCGGGGGCCTCGAGCTGTATTGGGGTCACCTCGCCTGTCTAGGAGGGTCGGAGGAAGAGGAGAGCTGAAAACACAGGTCTCCCTGTGGTCAGGCCTGCAGGCTCCCTGGTGACCTAGATACTCACCACAGCCCAACCCAGGCTCCGCGGCTTGTTTCTGAACATCCTCTTCTGCTCTCTCTTTCCTGCCTTTTCACTCCCCCCCCCCACACCCCTCCCAGGTGTGGGGGCACAGCCCCTCGCCCCGCCTGCCCCTTTGCACCCCAGCGTGTTTCCTTTCACTTTGTTATTTTGGGCGCTGAAAAGTGCTGACGGACTCTTTCTGGCTCCTCATCACCTCATGCCTCCCCCAGCCCCTCCCTGGGCTCCCTCTGGGTGGTGATGGGGGGCTGTGCTGAGGCGGGGGCGAGGACACGAGAAAGCGCCAGGGACAGCAGCCCTCCCCACGCTCATGACTTCTGGGTTGTTCTCAGGCCCACTCTGGCTCCCTTCCTAGCTACCATCCTGTGTCCTATCATGGGGCTGGCAGACCAGGAAGGGACATGAGCTAGTACTGGAGCCATGGGGCAGCAGGGCAGCAGGGAGGATGTGGAAGCTGGATGGTATCTGGGCCACAGGTGAGGGGACTGAGGAGAATCCATCACAGGAAGAGGAAAGGGAGGAGTCGGGGATGTTGGGGAATGGAGGACTGTTCTAGCAGACCCTAAAACCGGGGACGGCAAAGTCCTTTGGTGAGGGTGGTGGGCCTACCCCACCGGGCACCCCCGTTGTGCATGGCCAGCCCATGCCCCACAGAAGGATGTTTCTACAGGGTAACCTCTGCCTAGCACAGCAGGCCAGGCTGCCTCTTTGGAGACTCCAGAGAAACCCCAGGGGGCTCCCTGCTTGGCCTCACCATCTCGGGACATGCCCAGTGCCAGGCATTTCTGCAGCCGGCAGTGCTGGCACCGGTTTCGGCTGGTACGGTCGATGGGGCAGTTCTGCTGGCGGGTGCAGGAGTAGACCACGTTACACTGCTGGCTCCGGCGGAAGAAACCCTGGGGAAGGCAGGCGAGGAGACCTTGGCTGTCTCTCCTGGCCAGGCCCAGCTCAGTCCCCAGTGCTTCTAGCCCCAGCTCTGGCCCCAGCTTTCCCAGATTCGACCCCCCATCAGTTTTCTCTCCTCCATGTCTTAGCATGATGACAGTTTGCCCTGCCATCATGTTCCCAGCTCAGGACAAGGCCCTCCTGTGCACAGGGCCTCCCAGGTAAGGCACCTCCCAAGCAGCTCCCTAGCTGCTTCAGTAGACCATCCCGGAATAAAGGCCACAGAACCCCTTCTCCTCACCTCGGAAGAGACTGTACGCGCGCACATGCTCACCTTGCACCCCTCACAGGTGATAACCCCGTAGTGGATCCCAGACGACCTGTCCCCACAGATTTTGCAAGGAATCACTTCAATTTGTGCTGGAAGAAAGAAAGAACGGGAGGTCAGCCCAGGAGCCTTATCTGCCTCCTGCCCCCTCACTCGCCCTGCTCCAGCTTGTTCCCCTCTTGCAAGATGGAAGGAAGGGAAAAAGTGCCAAACACTGCTCCACAACAGGCCTAGGGGGGCCGTGTTTGGTTCGGTGGGGCAGCCGGGGGCTGTTGCAGCCCCAAGGGGGCAAGAATGCAGCTGCCGAGAGGCCACCTGTTCAGCCCTTCAAGTGGAAAAGCTCCAGTTGCCTCCCTCCCGCCTGGGGACCTAAGAGTCCTCGCTGCTTTACAACACCTGCTTCCCGCGCAGGGGGCTTCCTCTAGGCCCCCCTCCCCTACCAGGGCTCTGCTTCCATGGGAAGAGTGTGAAGCGTGGGGGCGGGGAGGGGGGAGATGTGGTGAACCAGCCGGGAGGCACTGGGGGCCAGGTACAGATGCCAGCCATCCTTGGCAAGGCAGTGAAGGCTTGGGGGTGGGTTGAGCAGAGGCCCCGGGGCCAAGCAGACAGGGTCCACAGAGTAGGGCCCAGGGGGTATGGAGAAGTGAGTTAGAGCCCAGGAGAGGGTTCAACAAGCCGGGTCTGTCAGATGCTGGGGACCCAGGGAGAGAATCAAACAGGGTGCTGAGGCCCCTGGCCCCGGAGCAGAGAGTGGGCAGCTCTGTGTGTATCAGTACATGAGAGTGTGGATGTTTACGTGTGCACGAGGGCCTCTGGGTCCCATCGTATGCCCACGCATCATGAATGCTAACTTTGGCTGGGACTAGGGACCATCTCATTTAAACTTTTTCCTTTCCTTTACAGGTGAGGGAATAGACCAGATGAGGTAAGTTTGCCCCAGGGCCGGGTCTACATCCTAGCTCCCCTGCTTTCCATTATGCTGTTCTGTGTACATGGCTTTTGGGGTACACACACCAGTGGGCATGTTTGAGGGTGTGTATACACATGGAAGGTACACATAATTGTGAGCCAGTGGGCATGTCTGCTTGAGCCAGCAGTCTCACCTGCACGTTGGCATGTTAGTGTTTGTTCTCTGGGCCACAGGGCCCCTGACCTATACCTGGCTCCAGATTCTTCTCTCCTTTGCCCTGGCCCCGTCAATGCCCACAGCTCTCTCCTGAATTTCAGGGACCAGCAGTTGGCCTTCTCCCAGCTCGTCGTTGAAGAGGAGTTGGGATTCCCACTATGTCAGGGGGACTCCGTCCCTCCCAAGGGACAGGGGTCTCTTGTGTGCCTTTGGTGTCCTGCTGCCTCCCCTTTGAACAGGGAGGCTGGGGTGGAGCAGACCAGAAAAGTGGTCTAGGACTGTCCTACTCTGAGGGTCAGTGGAAGCAGCAGCTTGTCTATAGGGCAAACCTATATTCCAGTGAGCTTACCTCTGGCTCTGGCCTGGACCCTGGTCACACATATGTGTAGGGCCTCCCAATGTGAAGTGGGCGCCTTTACACTACCGACCCTCAAGCCAGCTTTGAGCTGAGTCAGAGTAAGCAGCCACCTCCTCATGGGGGACTGGGCCCATGAGTATCTGAAACCCCTCCGTGAGAAGTCCGTTCTCGTCTCCACCCCAGCCCCCATCCGACTGCCCAAACCCCACACAGGAGGCTGTGATCACCTGCGGCGGGGGTGGGGGAGCAGTGACGGAAAGTGAGCCTTTCAGATTCTTTCCAGTAAATTAGGAGTAGATTGGAATGCATGGAGGGGAAGAGAGAACAAGACAGGGGATTGGTAGCTGGAAAAGGGACAGAAAACATGGAGACACTGCATGTCAAGTCACTTAGATTCTCTAGGCCTCAGTTCCCTTGCCAGTGAGGCCGGGGTACAAATAACACTGTTTGTCCATGGGGGGATTGTAGGTAGTTTCTCAGGCGCAATGACATTACCTGTGGGAAGCGCTGTGTAAGAGGCAAAACTCTACGTATGCTGTTACTACAGAGCAGGGCCAAAGGTGAAGAAGGCCAGTGGGCATTTGAGGCCTGATGGAAACACCCGTGCCCCATGGAGTCTGTGCTTGTGTCAACACCTTCCCCTTCAACAGTGTGGGTCTCCCTCTGTAGTGGCCCTCAGCCCAGAGAGGGGAGAAACCACCTTGGGTCACCCAAAAAAGTAAGCGGCAGGGAGATTAGGCCAAGCCACAGTGGGAACTCGGACTCCAGCCCAGCAGTCAACCACAGGCCTCCCTGCCTCTTCCCTTCTCCAAGAGCCACATCCGTGTGCGTGTGTGCACCAACCACACAGGTGACCCAGACACATCTCCCTGCCCTATGCCTGACCCACTGCTGGTCCTGGCCCCAGGAGCCTCGCGGCACTATAACCAAGACCTTATTCTTCTCATAGGCTGATGTGGCCAGCCATGGGCCCCCTTCACAAATACCTATTCTTGAGGGGGACGCTGGAGTTTAGACCCCAGCCACCAGCCAGCCACTCCTCAGGGCTCCCTAACCACAGTCCCAAGACAGAGGTACACAGTGAGAAAGAACACAGAGTCAGAAGTTCCGAGCTGGGAGGCTCAGACTCTTGTAGCTTCTGAGCTAGAGAGACCAAGAGGTTCAGGACTAGCAGCCAACAGAGACTTAGAACCTGAGCTGGAGATGCAGGTGCAGAAACACAGAAAGACCCACACCGATGTTCTGGCCCCAGTGCCCTGCCCCTGGCCCTGTCTGCACCACCAGGCCCCTGCTCTCCCTGCTCCCTCCTTCCCCTGCCACCTGTACCCCTTTCAATGCCATCTGCTTGAAACCTCAAAGAGAAAGTCCCGTTGCACGCGCGAGGGGGACTTGTGGAGGCGGGGAGTGGAGAGAGCGGGGAGAGAACGGGAAGAACCGGCAGAGGTGGCAGTGAGGTGAACAGGAGCTGAAAGCACCCCGCACCCCTCACCTTCACAACCTACCCCCGAGCCCTTGCCTGCAGCAGCAGGTGATGGGAACCCAGGTTGGGGAGGGGGAGCTGAGTAATCACGGGATTACTCAAACGGTTGCCCTGGAGCCTGGCCTGCCAGGAACTTAGCGTCTAAGGGCCTGATGGTGCCAGGAACTTGAACCAAGCAAAGGTCAGGACTGTCTAGGCCAGCCCCTGCGGCCCCCGCTGCTTCAGGAAGATCTTTGCACCTCACTGCTGCTCTCTCCCAGGGCCCATCAAAGGAAACCCTCACACTCCCAGGAGAGAGAGGTGTCCACCTACAAACGCTCCTGAAATCAGCTAGTGATTACATGGCTCTAGCCCCGCATCAAGGGATCTTGTGAAAATTTTGTGAGCAGGTCCCTGCTCAGGTCTGAGGGCCCAGATCCTGCATATGGACAAGCTCTGCTTGGTGCCCAAGCTTGCTGGTCCTCAGTCTGTACTTTTGAGTAGCAAGAATTGAGTCCCTCTTGAAGCTTTTGTGCAGGGCTGCTCCTCCCTGGGGGACAAGGGTGGGGTTGGCTGTCTTTCCCCCAGCTCATTTTCATTTCTTCTCCTCAGCCTGTGAGGCCTCTAAAGCTGCATTCTGATAGGACACTGGGAAAAGAAAATGAACCCCTTCTCGATTGCTTCAGAGACTGAAGCATCCCCAGGGAGCTTGCTGTGTGCACCTCTGATGTGGGGGAAATCCGGTAGTGAGGAGGTGGTCTTTCCCTCCCTCCAACCCCTCTAGTCTCACCCTTCCCACAGCTGTGAGATTCATTGATAGCGCTCTCTGAATGCATCCAGAGCCTGGCTCTTAGGAAGCCAGCTCTGGGCCTTGTCCAGGTGCCCTATGCCACAGAGAGGAAGTGGTAGGAGCGAAGGAGGGGCTCTAGCCCAGGGGGATCTCTCCCCTCAAACCCCAGAACCACTCCCCCAGCCCCCACTCTGCCGCCCCGCCAACCCTGGTAGAGTGGATGCAGCCAGAGGCGCCCTGGGGTCCTTATCTTCTCTTGGTGCTTTGTCAGTCTCCAGATGGGACTTCCTTCTCTTTCTCTCCCCTTTTCTCCAGCCGACAGGGGTTCAAGGGCGATGATAATGATATTCATAAGCCGTGGCTGAATTTTACTTGGTGCCAGGCTTCGCATACGTGTTTCATTAATGATTACAACAACCCTAGGGACCAGGCATTGCTTGTACTGTCCCCATTTTACAGATGAGAAAACAGTCGAGGAGGGAGTAAGTGGCTTGACTAAGGTCACACGGCCTAAAGTGGCAGATCTGACATTTGAACCCAGGTCTCTGTAATTCTGTAACCCATGTCCCCAACCATTAAGCTATACACCCTGTAAGGATGAGATGCCCAAGTGAACCAAGCAAATGGGATACGGGACAAGGTTACTGGCCACAGGGGAAAGGTGGGCTGGGAACAGAATTCAGAGAGGACCCCCGGGGAACTAAAGCCGGGACTCATGCCTGATGTAAGGACGCCCAGGGACATGGTCCCCTCGCTCCCTGCTTTTCATCTGCCGTGCCACCTCCTCCTGCCTGTATTCATGTCTTGGGGCCAAGGTGTCCAAGGCCAGCTCGCCTGACCCAACAGAGCTCCTCTGGGGGTGTGGGCTGGCTTTCATACAACGTAGTAGGCCTCTGCAGGGATGAATGAGTGGACAGGAAAGAGGAATGCACCTCTTTTCTTAGCTTAGCTCCCCCACCCCCACCCCCATGGAGACCACAGCTCTGGCCAGGGGTCCCAGTGTACCCTAGCCTGTCACCAGCCTCCCTCCTTTCTCAGCTCTCCTTCCCGCAGCTTCTGCAAAGCTGGAAACCACTTTGGTGTGTGCCCCCACAGGGGAGCGGGAGGGGGAGGGGTGGCGGGGGCCAGGAGAGAAGCACTTCTATCTGCTGAACACTGCTCCCAAGGTAGGGCGAGGGTTTTCTGCTGATACACCCAGATCCCAGGGCTGAGAAAGTAGTGAAGCTAAAACTCAGGTGGGCGAGGGAGAGTCTGGGGTTCTGAAAAGCCACGAAAGACAGCCAGCCACCTGAAACCCCTCTGGGTGCCCCCGCCACCCCCGCAGTCTGGGACAGGAGAAAGGAGGGGAAACAAAAGAATTGAGTGAAAACAACCAGTGAATGGGGGGAGGGGATGAATCACCAGGAGGAAGCTCTGAGGAGTGGGAGCCCCAAGACACAGTCAGCGGCCTTCCCTGCCGCCAGGCTTGTGCGTCCTTTCCACAGGGCTCTGCTGTTCCAGGAGACCAGGAACCCAGAGAGACTCTGGCTGGGGTGCTGACACCCTGCCCTGTAACCGACCCTCCCCCAAACACACATCCCCATCTTTTCTGAGCCCAGAGTCCCAGGACAGCATTGCAGTAGCAGGAAGAGTAGAGATTAGATCTCAGAAAGGACTGGCCGTGGAGGACAAGAGGAGACCCCAGAGCTGCCTTCCTTAGAGGGCTCTTAGCATAGGAAAGTCCCTGTTCCCTGTCTGAGTCAGGGGTACAGAGGCAGGGGAGATGAGGGGGCCCCCAGGAGGGCAGCAATACTGCTTCAGTGTGATGGGACAGGCTGCAGCGCAGCGGCCTCTAGGACCTTGGGCTAGGGGTATTTGGGATTCCAGTTAGGGATGGGAAGAGAAGAAAAGGCAAAGGTTCTGGGGTGATGCAGGGAAGGAGGGGGCCCTTTGTAAAGTCTTCAGGTGGTCCAGGGCTCCCAGGATAATAGCTGTGGCACCCTTGGGGACCTGGACTACTTCTGGCCCACGGCTCCTCATTATCATGACCAGACTTGGAAAGATCAGGGCACAGCAAAGACTGGCATGCGACCTCACACCTCCCCTTCCCCTTCCCCCTACTGCCCCATGCACACTCAGTGGTTGGTGGGGGGAGCTCATGCCTGTTGCTTCCACACTGGCCGTGCCCTCAGAGAGAGATAACTAGGGCCACCATCCCTCTGGCTGGCTGGGACATTTCCTCTGGCTAATGGACATTTCCTCTTTGCTTAGCTGCAGCTCGCCATGGCAGGGAGCCCCTATCACCCTTCCAGAACCTCCATAAAATCCATGCCTCCCCCTTCCTGCCTTCCTAGACCCACTCGGTACTCAGCGTCTCCTCTCTGCGGCCCGTCCTCTTTCCTCCC